TGTTTGGGCTATTTCCAGAATCCATGCTTCCCATATTTCAGAAGGATCCTTCTCAGAAACATAGATGTGATTCATTAGCTATTCCAAGTGTATAATGATAAAAGGGCATTTTGCATTTCCCATGCAGGGAATATTTATCTAGGAAATGTTTGTTCTTCATTATGCTCATGCAATTCCTCTGTCATGCTACAGTGTATTTGTACAATCAAAAGCTTTACCAACTACATCAACAAAAAAAAAAAAGTAAAAAAAAAAAAAAAAAAAAAAAAAAAAAAAAAAAAAAAAAAAAAAAAAAAAAAAAAAAAAAAAAAAAAAAAAAAAAAAAAAGGACATGTAACCTGACAGTTTAGACCCTCTGAGTTGGGTCTCTTCACACCATTCTATGAGATCACAGGATCATAGAAAAATTCAGTCCAGACAGGACTCTGGGGGATCATCTGGTCTATTCTCTTCCTTAAAACAAGGATACTTTCAAATTTAAGTCCATGGAATGCAGGAAGCATTAAACATCTCAGGTATAACTACTGGAGCTGGAACCAAGAAACATCTGCTCCTTGTAGTTCTCATAAAAAGGAAAACCAAAAAGCATCATGGGAGGAAAGTGAATTTATCTGGTGGTTTGACAGGAGCCACTTAATGGCACTGGGTGTGCCATTTCATTCATACCAGGATTCTCCACCAGGATGGCAGTGAAGTGTTCCTTGTGGGCATTAGCCTCTGGATCCTGGCACAAACTCCCTTGCTGTTAAACCAAAGAGTCCCTTGATGTCAAAATTTCTCTTCACCCTTTCTCTGGCCCATAAGTGATGCTCCCTGTACTGGGAGCTGTCTCAGACTTCCAGTACTCACCCAGAAAAATGAACTAACAATGGAAAGAGTTACATGAAGCTGAGTCTTCAGCCCAGCATGGCAAAAGATTTTCTCAGCAATATAATATCCCTTTTTCCTAGCTGAGACATGAACCATACACAGGTGGGTTTTCTGCTCCTTACAAAAGTTTTTTTGTGCCTTGAAGGCAGTAATAACACAGCTCCACCATGATTCTTAAATAGATATGAAGCATTTTGAGGCATAAAAATCTAAATTTCCAGTTTTACTTTGCCAGAAATACATGATCAATTATCTGTCTGCTTCAATGGTGTTCGTAATTTCAAAGCTGTAAGTAAAAAGAAAATGCAGGCTCTTTGTGTGTATATTGCCCAATTATAAAATGAGTTAATGAACCTGAGAGATTAAACGTAAGACATTTTCAAATGAACATAGAAAGCAGAAGGGCACCAAGTGCAATTCGTGCAGCCATTTCTCTGCTGAAGTATTTATAAGCTTAATGTGCCTGTATTTGAGTTAGCAGTCAAAGCAAAGATTTAAACACCTGAGAGCTAAATTATCTAATAAATCAACACAAATTCAGCCCTTTGCTTGCCTACTGGAGCTTTAAGACAAACCCATAACAGTTTCTTCCTGGAACAGTCATAGGAGTTTTCATTTAGACTTTTTTTTACTAGAAACCCTTCACAACCCTGGGTTAGAGATAATGGGCAAAAAGTGAGAATGCTTTTTTTTTTTCTTTAAAAAAGGGTGCAAATCTTTATCATTTTGTTCTTTCCTGTGTGGCTTCAGATTAAAATATTGATGTCTTGATAATGAGACACTGTTTTATGAGATACATTAATCTCAGCTGCACCTTCTGAAAGTTCAGCCACTGTGGTTGAAGCCTGGTTTGCTTTGCACAGACATAAAAACAAAGCTTGTGTGAGGGATTATACAAATGTAGTGGCAGAGCCAAAGGCACAGAGTATGAATTCCTGTGAACTCAGCAGGTTTTTTGGTACTGAGAACATTCTTTCTGCTGTGAAGGCTACCTTACCTGTGCCCATTTGCTCACATAACTGTGCTCTAAGTCTTGGAGATCTCTTTAACCTTTTCATTTTAAACACCCATAGGGCTATGAAGGTTCCATTTATGCAGAGATTTTCCCTCATTTTCAGAAAGGTTGAAAGCCTTTTCATGGTGACACATATTTGGCATGTATGAGTTTAGGTATGGTAAGAGATTTTGAGGTAGATGATACAATCCTGTTATCTTCAGAATCATAGAATCACAGAATGGTTTGATTTGGAAGGGGCCTTAAATACCATCCAAGTCCCTCCATGGGAATGGACACCTGCCACTAGACCAGGTTTTTCAAAGCCTCCTCCATTCTGGCCTTCAGCACTTCCAGGGATGGGGCATCCACAGCTTCCTGGGGCAACCTGTTCCACTGTCTCGCACAACTCTCACAATGAAGAAATGCCTTAATGCTGTTTCATTTTGTCAGGAAATTCAGGTTACCTGGAGCAGTAACAATGAGGAAAATGAATTTTGGAACAAATTTAGAACAGACTTATCAAAATCACAATAAATTTTCATCGTTTACCAAGATGGGACAGCTTCCCAAATGTCTGGGTTGACCACATCATTAGATGTTCACTGGAGCAAATATGGAATTGATTGGACCCAAATTTCTGACTGATGCTTTGCCATAGATCACCTTGTAGGACTTTCACAGTTCCTTTTGATGCTTGATAGGATGTTTGACATTCATTCCAAGCATGAAGATGGCCCGACCTAAAAATGCCTTCTTCTGCCACCCAGTAGATTGTCAGGATGTGTGGAGTAGTGGGGAATGCAGCAGAGATGTTGTGTGGCTGTTTCAGCAGTGCTCACACACTGGTATTTTGTACACCTAACACCTGGTTGCATGGCAGCTTGAAGGGCATCCACAAATATGGAATGTTCCAGCAATAAGTATGTGTGATCCAGCTGCAAAGCACCATGAGCCAGTTGGAAATGCAACATTAGTCCATTAAGAATGGAAGCACTTTAGTATTAAAGTTCGGTATTTGTAATTACTTGTTTTTAGCTCTTTTTGATGATTATTATTTCTTTTTACTTCAGAACAGATTTAGGCTTCAAAAGCCTTAACAAATTGCAACTATATCCAAATCTACATTTTTCTTTCTGTATTCATCCAGCCACAAGGAATGTAAAGTAATTTCTTGTTTCCTTTAAATGTTTATAAAAGAAATCACACGAATCTGCAAATTTAGCAGAGCAGATTTCTTGTGGTTAAAGTATGCACCATATGGATCATGTTCCATGATAAAGAAAATACTTGCTACTAAGTAATTTCACATTTTAATTATGATATTTTTTAGAAATACTTTTTTAAAAGCTTTATTGTATTTTGAAAATGTGTGTTTATGGTGGTGCTCAAAAAAAGAATTCAAATAGCATTTCTAATTTTTTTTTCCTTGTGGATTCAAACTCATGCCTTTAATCTTACCTAAACTTTGAAATAGGAGAAACACAGCTTGTGCCTCCTATTTCAAGGAGAAGTTAGAAAAATCTTGGTACAAAAACTGAAAAGAAGTTTAAGGAAGTCTGGAAGTCTGGAGCTATCAGAAAGTGGGAAATGCAGCTTTCAAATTAAATATGAACCTCTAAATTTGAAATCCAACTTATTTCTTCAATTTCACCAAGATTAGGGCTGAGTCCCATGCCCTGTGTCATTCCTTCACCCTCTTTTGGCAGCAGCCACCCATCATAGTGAGGCATACAACAGATCTAACCCCAGAACAGTGCTTGCTCACTTGAGTTACAGTATTTCCTTTCCACCTCACAATTTGAGATTTGTTTTACAAATGTGTCACACTGTACATTAATGTCTTATGGTTCAACCTTTTTTAATGGTTCTACAAATACTGATCTGTACTTAACAGATATTTTCTTTCTTTTGACTGTATGTCGCCCTCACATAGTTATACATACTGGTAGAAGGGCTTTTACCCTGTAGAGAGAATTTTAGTCTTGCAATCAGTCATATATTGAAATTTCCCTTTTGGGAAAAAAGGATTTTCATGCAGTTGTGGGGCAAGACATCTTAAATATGAAAACATCCCCAGGCCTAGGCAAGTGGTCATAAAGCTGTAAAGAATATGACATCAATTTTCTCCAATTAAAACCAAACACAGCAAGCAGGCAACAAACAACAACATACAGCACAGACACCAAATACGAATGGCGTCATTTTCTCACCACAAACAGTTATGTTATGCTTCCTTGTAAAGAACAAACAGTTCATTTAAATAGGATTCATGACTTTTGTGCCAACTTTGAGAACCTGGAAAATTAATCTCTGTGTGGGTGGAAGAAGTGTCATTTTTTCCTTGACTAAACGCAACTTTCCTCATTTTAAAAAAGTGCCCTCCAAACCACAGTGGAACTTCTTCCTGTGGTCTCCCAGGTGACCTGCCATGGTGACAGCAGGAGCACATTCCATGTGTGTCCTTTCCAGGTGCTGGTGAGGCTGCAGAGCACCTGTGAAGAGAGCTGCTGTTCCTCCTGCACAGCCTGTTCTGCACTGCAGGAGGCTTCCACCTCTGCTCCCACCCTTGTATATCCCAGTGGCACCAGCTGGGACAGGCCATGGAGTGCCAGGACACAGCAGGAACTGTTATGGACAAATTCAATTGGGGAGGATAAATATAGATAAATCAATGAACAAGAATTTATTAAGCAAGCAGTATTAAGCAAAAGAACAGCGCTGGGTGGCCAAGGAGTCTCTGCTCTGCCACAGTGCACCTTCCCCTTTGACCTTTTTGTTTTTATAGTCCCCTTTTTTTTCTGGTTGACATATTTTCTCTCGATGCACTCTGTGCTGGTGTAATTGGTTGTGAGGGGGTCTTTTTTTCTCTGTCCTTGGTGGTCATAGGAATGAAGGCTGCTTATCTTCTTTGCAGAGTGTCCTTGGCCTAAAAGTTAACTTGTATATAGTTAGTTACACAGTTTTCTATGTTAGTTGCACCTGCACAATTCTTAAAGAGAATACATGCTGTTTACCAGGGCCCCCTCCCCCTCTCCTCCTTCTTTTCCCGCATCTTGAGATTCCCTACTCAGTTCAAATTCTTATCTCCTTCAATGCTTGTTTTGATGAACAAAGACCTTTTTATTTATTACAGGCACCAACCGGCTCGTCTTGGCTCCGGAGTGCACAATTCCATGTTTGTCTGCTCCACGTGTCAGCACGCACCAGCACCGCCCGTGTCTCTTACAGAGCTTTCCCACCTGAATTCAGGAAGATTATTCTGCCTTTTGTAGGGCTGGGAGTGGAACAGGAGCTGTTGGGAAAGGGCCTGAAGTCCTGGAGATGTCCTTCTGCACTCATGTAGGTTGGTCTGTCCCCTCAGAGCAAGGAGAGAGGATGCTAGCTGAATCCCAAACAGATGCCAGGGAACAACCTCCTGTTAATTCAGGTCAGAGGTTGCTCCATATAGGATGTTGCTTTAACTGTGCAGAGAAGATTCAGGCTGACACAGCCACAAGCTATATAAAACTCATTTTTTCCTTTCCCTGTTGCAGTGATGACAACTAATTTTAAAAATATGTGCTCTTTATGAGCCTGACTAATGGCCTTTGGGCGTATTTCTAATTACTTCAATAGCCTTGGGTGGGGTCTTGAACGTTTTAGTTACCTTTTGTGCCAAGGGCTCAGCTGCTTCTCTGGTGGTGTCCACATGGGACAGAGAGACAGCATAGGGATGGTTTTGGCATGTACTCTGCTCTCCTGGAATTCAGTAATTCATCAGCAGACTGATTAACAAGCCACAGGGAACCACGGAGAGATGGCATTTGTTATAATCGGAAGTAAACTAAAAAGAGCATTTGGGCAAAGAGGAAGGCTGAGTAAACCACCACAGGTGAACTGCAAAGCCACAAACTTGGCACGCAGTGCTTGGCTCCAGCCCACCTCTTCTCCTGCCATTCCTTCAGCCCCAGAGCTAGATACCAGAGGGAAGCAAAACACTGGGTCACTGCTAGAGGAGGCTGTGGGACATGGGGGCAGAGAGAGGTAAGGACAGCTGCAGGAGAGAATGGAAATCTTCCCTAATTTGCAGCTGCTATGGGTCACTGGGTTACAGTGGGGGAGACAGTCTCTGCTCCACCATCTGAATGTCCTATCTCCTTTCTTCCTGGCAAACACCAAACATAAAATTCTGCCCCATTCAGCCATCCGTCGGGACCTCACAAGCTCTGTTGCAAATAATATTCTGTGATTAAAATAGGGCTCCTGAAATATGTTTGGGCCCGTTGCCCGAGAGACTGTTTCAGGACCAAGCCCTAGTTTATTGGGAAAAATTAGAATAACGTCAGCACTATTATCTCCCTGGGACACATGCTTGAAAACCAGTTATGTGCTGTGTCTTTCTGCTCTCCAACTAAACATAGCAGACCATGGACGTCCCCAGAGGGAGGAGGTGAAGGGAATAAAAGAGGTTATTGTCACAGAGGCAGTAACCTGTAAAATCTGCAAAGCTGCCTTCATCTTTTTCCCTTTGCTGTCCAATGTTTTAACAACTTAGCTCAGCTGTTGGTTTTCTATTAGGCTTACTGTCAAAATAAAAATAAAAAAGATAGTGGCTGAAAGAGAGAGAGAGAGGAAAAGTGAAGGGATCAGCCATTTTCTTTTTATAATTTCATAAAGGATTATGTTAATTTTTTTTTTCCTTCTTCCCCAATTTATTAACATTTACATTTAATCTCTCTTTGATACTTCCCAGAATCTGTTTCCACCTAATCTGTCTCCTTCCCTTATTCTCCTGTTTTAACTCAAATGTGGCATAGCCATTAGATCCAGCTCTTAAGAGTACAGGGTCAATTTTGCTTTCCTTCATTTCTCCTGTTGACAGCCAGCATCATGTGAGGACATGGAGGAAGTGAAATGTACATAATTTTGAAATTCTCCATTCATCTGGACACTTTGAATTTAATGATGAAGAAATTTCACAGGTCACAGAAGGTTATCTGATACTGACCTTAACAGTGATATAGATTTACATTTAGAGAGATCACTGGGACATAGGAGTGGTCACAAGGGGACTGTTAGTTGAGCAATTTTTCCTATTCTTTTTTCAAGTCTTCTCTGGTTCCTTAACAACTTGCTAGCACACTGAACAGCACTGTTTTTGTCACTGTACTTGAGATAAAATTTGCCACGTTTATTTTCTCTACCCAACCAGCCTGGCACCCCTTTGCTAACACAAGGCACAAGATTGGACCTGGAGGAGCAACTCCAGGCCAGTGAGGCTAAGCAGTTCCCAGTTCCACCATCTTGACCTGCAAATTGGCCAAGAGGGGCCCCAGAGCTGTAATGAGGCCACAGGAGGGAATGAAGCTGTGCTGGCTGGGGAGCCAGTTCTCATCCCCCAGCATGAAGCACAGGCTTCTCCTGGTGTCCAGGAGGAGGGGTACTCATGGGCAGTAAGCACCTTGCTGAATGAGATTTTGTGGAAACAGCAAGCTGGAAATGTCCTGAGGCTATAAAGCTCCAGAGTCATGTTGTGACTAAATCCTCAGAGCAATTGTGCTAAAATGGATTTTCTGTACTTTCTTCCTCATCTCCAGCCGTGCTCTGCAGTTCAACTCAGACCTTTGCTTCCATGCCAGAATTGCACATGCATTAGACAGGAGGTTACCTCTTCCACACTTCTGCTCTGCTGTTTTGCTCCTTTTACTGCCTGCCCTGCAGCATTGCCCCAATGGGATTATTCCTTATCTCTGGAGATTCATTCCATATCATGATATCCCTATCATTCACCCCCATTCCATATCTCCCTTATCTGCATGCTCTTGACCACTATGAGAGCTCTTCAGTGTCAGCTGCCTCACACAATCTCACCAAGCCAGAGGTGCTGCAGAGCTGTCCTCCCATGGAGTGGGGATGTTTTACAAGCAGGGGGATGTGTCTGGTGTGGTTCTACCCAGCTCCCATCACACCTCCCTCTGATTCTGCTGATGCTTTTGTGTTTCCAGCACTCTGAACAGTGATACTGATGCACCCCCCTTGATGTTGAGCTCTTTAAGTTCCATATTATTAGAGACTGTAATTCTGCTTGTGGAAACCTAATCTCTGAAGCTTGGTTAAAAGATAAGATGTCTCAGTCATGTGAACACAGAGGGATGAAAGGGACACAGACAGATTGGCATCTTGTTTTGTGCTAGGCATTTTCATGTTCCCACAGAGAGGAGAGTCATAAAACCTGTGTCTATAGATGAAAACCTACCACTGCTTTCTGTGCAGCCTGGACACAATTTGGCTCCAAGGGAAGAATACTTCATTTCTTCAACTGCTTGCATAATCCTTTTGTTCGTAAGCTCAATTAAAAGTACTAAATCCAAGCCATTACTGATTTGAATTTTGGTGCCCAAACCTCACTTAATGAGGTATATTAAACCTAGTTCAGTTTATCATATGTCCTGTTACAGGGGCATAATTAATACTGAGTGGAAACCAGGTTTCCTGCCCTGCAAAAGACTTTCCATTGTCAAAAAATGTTGAGAGAAATCCAACACTTTTCAGAGAAAGAGAGGTTTGACTTCACTCCTTTAGTTAAAGAGGTTTCACCTTGTATAAGTGAATACTCATTAAGAATAAGAGTGAGGAAGGTGTTCATTAGGTTTATAAAAGGCTAATTGGGATATGAAGGAGACAAGTTGGAATCCCTGTCTCCATGAATACTGATTTTCTTGAAGGAAATTGAGTCCTTGCAATGGGGGAGCCTGAAGGATTCCCTCCACATGTAGGCAACTGACAGGTAAGGTTCCTGTCTCAAATGTGGGATTTACAAGGATTTGAATCCAAGTTTTCCATGTTTTGTAGCAATACACAAAAAAGATTTCATTCATTCACTGAGGACTGAATGCTCTCTTAAATTGGACCAGCAATTCCCTCTGGGATTTAGAAACATTTCCTGCCAGAAATGGTACACATATTTTCCCCAACTCAGAAAATTTTGGTTTCATTTGGTTGTCATTTGCCAAGAAGAAACGTATTAAACATACAGTTTCCTGACACCTCTAGGTTTAACTGAATCTTACTGATTTTACTGTTTAGAGAAGGGAGAGAGTGCTTTCTCTCTTTCTTCTGCAACATGCCTACTGTATTCTGTAAAAAGGGAAAAGGAAAAGGAAAAGGAAAAGGAAAAGGAAAAGGGAAAGGAAAAGGAAAAGGAAAAGGAAAAGGAAAAGGGAAAGGAAAAGGAAAAGGAAAAGGAAAAGGAAAAGGAAAAGGAAAAGGAAAAGGAAAAGGAAAAGGAAAAGGAAAAGGAAAAGGAAAAGGAAAAGGNGAAAAGGAAAAGGAAAAGGAAAAGGAAAAGGAAAAGGAAAAGGAAAAGGAAAAGGAAAAGGAAAAGGAAAAGGAAAAGGAAAAGGAAAAGGAAAAACACCGAACATATAAGAAGCAGGGTCAGTCTGGCCTCCATGGCACTTTTTGCTATTGTGTACAACAGAAAGAGTTGGGAACAAAAGTAATGGTTCAAATCCCACTGAAGTCAAGTAACTTAGCAATAGGGAATTGTTCAGCTGACAGATAGGGTGGAGGTCTCAGTGCTGAGTGGATCCTCAGTTCACTGGAGGCTTGGTGCAAGTCAAGCCAATTCGAGTGTTCCCCTGGTGTCTTGGCATTTGATACAGCCCAGGATGCAAAGGAGCCTCCGATGAGTGACCCCCATCAGAGAGGGCAGGTTGCTGTGGTGCAGTAGATTTTGTACTGCTGGGATTCAGAGGCATGAAGGACAATTTGTCCCCAGGCCAAGGGAGCTGCTGTCAGCAGTAAGCTCTGTCCTGCTGTATGATCACACACAGACATGTGTGCATGCCTCCATCTATAGCTCCTCAAGGAAAATAGAGGGGAGAATTTTCTGGGTTTTCCATTATATTTGCCCTCAAGCTTTTGTGCCAAGCTGAAGAAGAACGTGAGAGCACATCAGAGAGGAACCAGCCCACACCCTTCTCAGCACCAAGAGAGATATTTGGTTGTGTTATCACCCCTGCACTGTGACATACATGATCAAGAAATCTTGGCAGATCATAATCTTGGGTGTGCTATAAATTTGGGTGGTTTGTGGGTGTAGCACAGCAGGGGCAGTCTGTTCTGGGAGGCATCAGAGAAAGGGAGCAGGCAGCAGCAGCAAAAGCTCATTTTTCCCCCTCCTGAGGCAACGTCTGACACAATTGGCAGCTCATTTCTCCTGCCCTAGGATGTGAGCTACCTCTGAATGCCTCCCTTGTGCTAGGGCTGGTACTGAGCTAAATGTGGGCCTGGTGCCAATGATTACAATTCCCATTAAGCTGGAATATACATTAACTTCAGAGGTTTCAG